AAAGTACATCAAAATTGAAATTCTTAAAAAACCAATTGGCCAGAGAGGAAAATATTAAGGAATGTGAAAATAGGAATAAAGTAAATATTTCCACATAATGCAAACTGAAAGAGAACAGGAAATTATTTTTAAACTATTGAAAGAAAGCCCATCAACCTAAAATTCTATATCCAACAAAAATATCTCAAAAATGAAGATACAATAAATGCTTTCTTGAATACACAAAAGCTAAAGCTATGTATGATGACACTTTTCTGTAACACTCCCACTGCTTAGAAAACAAAAAACAAGAATATCAAGAGTTTGAGGCCAATCTGAGCTATATAGTGAGACCCTGTCTCAAAACATGACAACACACACACACACACACACACACACACACACAAGAATTCAGCACCCCATGGCTGTCACTTCCCTAGACAAATGTAATATGGATCCTTAAATCTATAGACAAGTATCCCAGTCACCACCCACAAAAGAAGCTTCTTTTTCAAGAGGCAGAGATAAAGTTCCACAAGTGATCACACAGAGAGATTGTCTGTGAATGGCCCAAGCCTAAGTGACACATCTAGGATGCAACCTCTGCACCTAAGGCTCACGGAACATAGAACAAGGGATGAAGAGAACACTTTTGCATCTTTCAATTCTCATCAATGAAGCTCCCTCATGCAACAGAGGGCCAGGAATGCAAAAGGTCACAAATGGCCAAACCACAGAGAATAAGAGTCTGCAGAGTGTGGGTCCTTAGACAGGACTCCTATATTAAAACCCACCCACCCAGAGCTCAGGAACCATTGCAGAAAGATTGCAAGAGCCAAGGAGGAAGTATCTGACCATATGGAAATAGTCCTACAGGGTCCTGGGACTCTTCTCATACAAATCTACAGCAATGATGTCAGCATACACAAGACCCATGCAAACTTAAGCAGACAAAAACCCAGCCCAGAGCTGTTGAAAAGAACATGAGGCCCCAATCTTCATTAAAGAATTATTGGCAGCTGATTACTGCTGGGGGAGAATGAGCTGATCCCAGTGGATGAACTTGCACTGAGGGGTATCACAGGACAATAACTTTACTTGGTAAAGATGACAGAAGGTATGAACCCCAGTGGGGTATATGGGAGGGTGCCAAAGGGGAAGGAGATGTAAAGATGACTTTCTGTATGAAATACACAAAAATTCAATTAAAAAAATTTTTAAATAAAATAAAATAAAGTTTTTAAAAGATTTTAAAAAAAATCAGCACCAAAAATCCAGAAATGGAAAAAAAGGAAAACAATACTGAGGGAAATCTAAATATACACAGAAAAAAAAGAAGAGCACTAGAAATGGTAAATACTTGCTAAGTGCAAAATGTTTACTTCATTTTGGAATCTTTTTAAAAGATCATTGATAAATTACAAAATATCAATCAAAGGATAAATAAACAAATTGTGATATATCCAGACAATTGACTACTTCTGAACAATGAAAATAAATGACTGGCATATAAAACATAAAGAACCTCAGACTAATTGTGATGAGTGAAAGAAGCCAAACAAACCCAAATATAAATGTATTATTGCTCTTACATAAAGTTCTGTGAAGCCCAGAACAGTTTGGTATGCTTAGGCTGCAGAGCTTCTGAATACATCTCTGAAGTTATCACTAAGATTTTGAGTGAATATCTTCTAATACTCTTTTTTTTTAAGCAAAAAACAAACATTAAGTCATTTGACAAAGCAACTTGTCACCTCTGTAGAATTTCATAATTAATTAAAAATAATGTAGAGAAAAGTAAACAAAGATAAAGTAATATGGGTTTTTTAATTATATCTATTTACTATTTGATGTAATTAATATGGTTAAATAAAATTATTCATATTTTACTTGGTTTCATTGTTTTTAAAAAAACATTGCTCATTTTTATTTAGAATTGTGTTCAACATTTATCACATCATAAAATAATTCCCTGTGATATAGACATACTAATTTTTACTTTCTGGGGATTATGTGGTATATCAAAAGGTTTCTTTAGCAAGATAAGTTTTACAGGTGTTAAGTCAGATTTTCATTTATGTTCTTCTAAAAACCTTGTTAAGTGACCATTTTAAAAATAACTTCAGTGGCCAGAAAGATGGCTTAGCATTTAAGAGTGCTTGCTGCTTTTACAGAGAACCTCAATTCAGTTCCCAGCAACAGTGTCAGGTAGCTCACAACCACTCCAGCTCCAAGAAACTGATGCCCTCTCTGGCCTCCAGTGACACTTGCATTCATGTCCATATACCCAAATACAGACACACATACATACACACAATTCTTTTTTTTTTAAACTTTAAAAATAACTTCAGAGACTGGAGAGATGGCTCAGTGGTTAAGAGCACTGGCTGCTCTTGCAGAGGACCAAGGTTTGGTTCCCAGCACCCACATGGCAGCTAACAACTGTCTGTATCTCCAGTTCCAGGGAATTTGACACCCTCTTCTGATCTTGGTAGGAATTGGGTGACACAGGTGCACTTGTATACGTGCAGGCAATACGCTCATACACATAAAAAAGTAAAAAGAATAACTAAAATATTGTTAAATAACTTCAATTGGATAGAATAAGGAAATTTTAGTAAATCGTTATACCTTATTTTATACAAGGAATACATTTGTTTAAACATACTTTATCAAATTTGGGAATCTTTGTACCAAAATGAAGTGTAACCATTTGCTTTTCACTCTAATGTTTTAGATTGAACTTTTTAGAATGTTAGAGTCGTCTCTACTTGATCTAGAGGCCTGGGCTACAGGACCAGTGTAATCAGTGAGCAGGTATAGGAAGTAGAAACCATTCTATGTTATAGTGAAAGTGACCGATACAGGTAGCTCAGTACTAACAAATTATTGAAAAACTAAAATAAGCTCTGAGTTTGTGCTCAGGGCTCTGCTACACACTTTGCACCCAGATGGGAGTCCATGAATAGGGTTGAAGTCTATGTCCCATTCCTCTAGAAAAGCTGTGACCCTAGGTCAAGGTATCATGCCTATGAAGAGGGCAGTATTTTTAAAACACTATACCCAAGATGGGAGTGTCATTGCAAATTGTACTCCTAAAGTAATTGCCATCTTCTAATTCTCACCAAGTTGTTAGTACCAACTGTTGCCCTCCTTATTTCTCTTTTTTATGGTAGAGAAGGAGGGGTAGATTTCCTAACTTCATCCTCCCCTAATTTTTCATGAGATACTTCCAACTTTCCATCTGTGATTTCTGAAATTCTGTATCAAAAAGAAATGATTGATTTTTCAGTGATTAGATTTCAATGCATCTCATCAGCATTGAAATGCAATGTTTTTGAAATTATTACCCTTTCCCAGTATTTTATCTGATTCTGTAATCCAGTGTTTTAGTATACATACATCAATTGAGAAAAGCAATATTAGAATCTTGCCTACTTAGAATCTTGCCTACATACTATCTAGTGGGTTACAGGAAAATGTTCTCAACCCTTTCATTCTAAGCCTTATATTCCCCATCTGCAATACCACAATAATAATAAATACACCTACACTGCAGGTTTAATGGAAGGCTAAATTTGATAATATATATAAAATGTCCATCATTTAAATATTTGATAAATGTTAATTCTCATTTAATAAAATAATAACAAAACTTGCAGCACATTAAATAATGAGAACTAATTCTCACCCTTGAGTAGCTGCAAAGGAATCCAAGAAATACACAATTCTATGCTTTCAAATTCTGTAATACAGAAAGATTATAATGGAGTACATACCGATTGTCAGTTCTCCATATTCAACATAAACTGTAAACATTTCCATGTAACTCTATCCCAATAATGACCAAATCAACATACTTCATAATGCATTCTTTATATTGCAGAGCTATGAGTGGTATTTCAAATAGAATTTGTTAACTTAAAGAAAAATAAGGAAAAAATACTTTCGTGGTTGGAACCCAGGGCCTCATGGATGCTAAACAAGTTTTCTACCACTAAGGTATATCCCAAGCCCCAAGTTTTTAAAGTTATATCCAAAGTTTAAGTCATAAATGTTAAATGAGAATTGTAAGAAGTTTTATACTTTGAAGCAAGAATGACAACAGCAAATTTTTATGCAGTGTCTTTTGTAGGCCACCGTGTATTATTAGACAAAAAAAAATTCTAAAACCCCATGATATAGGTAATAATATTTCAGATTTACAGAAGAAACTAAAGTGGGAAGACTTCAGTAGGGCAGGACTATTTACTAGCTGAACTGGAATTTGCACCAGACATTTTGGCTCCAGAACCAATATCCTAAGTGCTATTCTCTAGTACACAGCATGATGTGCTCGTTCTACATTTTAAACTCCAGTAGGGAAATTACTTCCAAAGCTGACATAAATTGGTGTCTGTCAAATTATGCAACAAAAATTTTTACTAAAATGTACTTAATATTGCCATTAAATGATACATTAACTATATAGTAGGAACATACAGCACATTTCAAGCAATGTCAATTAGTCAAATTATGAAAATGTGTCCTGCCAGGCATAGTGGTGCACGCCTTTAATCCCAGCACTTGGGAGGCAAAGGCAGGTGGATCTCTGTGAGTTCGAGGCCAGCCTGGTCTACATAGCAAGTTCCAGGCCAGTTGGGGCTACAGGGAGACCCTGTCTCAAAAAGACCAAAAATAATAATAATAAAAGAAAACGTGTCCTAAACATAGTAAGTACCTTTTTTTAAATTTTTTAGGCCAGTTGGCTACAGGGAGACCCTGTCTCAAAAAGACCAAAAATAATAATAATAAAAGAAAATGTGTCCTAAACATAGTAAGTACCTTTTTTTAAATTTTTTATTTTTTCTAACTCTGAAATGGTAACCTGATCTTTAAATAGCAAGGACCGTCAAGTCATATCCAAATGGATTTGAAAAGGAGGAATTCTTGTTCCTCTTCCTTTTTCAAACACACCTTTGGATTAACACACCTGAAGATTTAATTATGATGTTCATTCTGCCTTCTTCCTCTTGGTACAGACCATGTAAATGGACACTGCACAAGTCCAACTTCTCAGAGTTGCAGTTCTGGAAAACGTCTTTCCAGTGCTGATGTTTCAAAAGTAAATCGCTGGGGTCCTGGAAGACCACCCTTTAGAAAGGCACAGTCAGCTGCTTGCATGGAGATTTCTTTACCAGTTACAACTGAAGGTAGGATAAAAATATCAATTTTTGTGAGTACAGTTAAAAATTTGATTTATCATGGTAACAGGTGCTGGGAGACAAGCGATGGAAGTCAGATTTAGAAGATTTTTTTTTTTAAACTACTAGAAAATGAGAAACTGAGATCCAGTTTGGCTGTGGCCATAACTCCGGTTCTGTTCCTCAGTTCACCTCCTTCCTTATCTCTAAAACTAGAATGATACCATTGTAGGTCAGTTTATACAAAAAGAGACCTCTGCCTTAATCTGTAACTGCACCTTAATTTCCTCAATTGTCAAGTGAATATAACCAAGGCTAAAAAGACAAGATATTAATTTCTAAAGTTTAGAATTGTAGCCAGGTCTGGTGGCACAGGCCTGTAATCCCAGCAGCTCAGGAGGTTGAGGCAGGAGGATTGCAACTTCAAGGCCTGCCTGAGTTACAGAGCAAGTTGAAGGCCAATCTTGGTGACTTAACAAGACCCTATCTCAAAACAAAAAGTACAAAAAGAACTGGGGATATTGGTCGGTGTTTGAGCACTTACCTATTCTAAATGAGGCCCCAAGATCTATCCCCAGTACCAGAAAAATAAATAGATAAATAATAAATAAAAATTTATAAT